TGTTACCAACATTCCAATTATACTCTGAGTTATTTTAAAATGTACAGTAATTATTGTTGACTGTAGTCACCTTGTTGTTCTCTCAAATAGAACATTTTATTCATTCTATCTAACTATACTTTTGTATCCATTAACCATTCCCACTCTTCTCCTCGCCTTTCCAGTCTCTGATAACCATCCTTCTACTTTCCATCTCCATGAGTTCAATTATTTTAACTTTTAGCTCCCACAAATGTGTGAGAACATGTGAAGCTTGTCTTTCTGTGCCTGGCTTATTTCACTTAACATAATGTCTTCCAGTTCCATCCATGTTGTTGCAATGACAGGATCTCATTTTTTATGGCCAAACAGTATTCTGTTGTACATAGTACCACATTTTTAAAATCCGTTCATCTGGTGATGTACACTTATGGTGCTTTTAAATCTTGGCTACTGTGAATAGTGCTGCAGTAAACATGGGAGTGCAGATATCTCTTCAATAATACAACTAATATCCTTTCTTTTTGGGTATATACCTAGCAGTGGGATTGCTGGATTATATGGGAACTCTACTTTTCGTTATTTGAGGAACCTCCATACTGTCCTCCACAGTGGCTGTACTTACATTCCTACCAATGGTGTATGAAGGTATCCCTGAAAGGTAAATACATATGTTAAAGCAAACTAAATATGGCCTGAGATAGACTCTGTACTTCTACATTTGAGTCTTTGTGGATGAACTGTAACGTAGCTTAATAGTCAGACAAGACTGAAAACCTAACTTAGGAGTATGAGCCTGTAACAACTGCTAAGTCTTGGCCAATTCCAGCGCTCATACTTCAACCACTCATACACTGCTGAGTGTTCAAACTGTGTTCAAATAAGGCATATGCCGAGCTGTAATCAATCCAGCCATTCCATACCTCACTTCCAATTTCTGTACGTCACTTCCCTTTTTGTTGCCTATAAATCTTCTACCACATGGTTGCACTGGAGTCTCTGTGAATCTGCTGTGATTCTGGTGGCTACCTGACTTGCAAATTGTTCACTGCTCAATTAAACTCGCTTAAATTTAACTTGGCTGAAATTGTTCTTTTAACACATATTTTTAAAGAAGGCATGGGTTTCTGCAAAACAGAGGGCCTCAAAGATAAACTCTGACTCTACCACCACTTGTCCATTCAACCAAATAGTTACTGATCATCTCTCAAGTTATAGACTTGAGAGTTCAATCTTTGGAAGACAGCTAAGTTCCTCAATTTTCCTCAGTGGCCTTCTTCAGTACTGACTTGCCCAAGAATATATTCAGACGTTGTGGATGTGAAAAACACTAGGTTATAATCTAACTGCAAGTCAACAAATCAGATTAAAATCTGATTCTACTCTTACCCTGGATAAACAAAAGTTGCAAAATGTTAATGATTAGTGAATATAGCTAAAGATGTATAGGAGTTCACTATAGTGTTCTTTCCATTTTTTGTAGGCTTGGAATTTTTCAAAATCATATGTTGGATAGCAATAAGCACACACCTAAACTTTACTTTCAATGTATTAGGAGAAATAATCAAAATCAAAAGGGAGAAGAATAAAAGCTAGCCAATCATTTTGTGGGCATTAAAAGAAAAAAAAAAAAGATCCCCCCCCCTTCTTAGCCTTTTTGGCCAGTCAGTAGAACAGAGTGCAAAGCCTCACTGCAGGCCATCCGTGACCCATTCCCAGCCCGCCTCACCCCCATTGCTTTGGCCTATCAAGGTCTCCTTCGCCTTAGTTCCCTTGACTCCCCCCTGTAAAATAACTGCTGCCCCTGGGCAGAACATGAAGGACAGTTCCTCCTGTCCTTCTTTTTAAGATCAAAGGAAACCACAAATTCATACAAGGAATATTAACACCCATATACCAACAGCAACAAACGGCTGTTTGTGTTTGCTTTAAATCCTGCATCTTTACATTTCCTTTAATTATTAAAAAAAAAAAAAAATCACACAGCTAGGCACCGTGGTTCACACCTGTAGTCCCAGCACTTTGGGAGCAGAGGCGGGTGGATCACGAGATCAGGAGTTCGAGACGAGACTGGCCAATACGGTAAAACCCCTGTCTCTACTAAAAATACCAGAAAAAAAAATTAGCTGGGTGTGGCGGCGCGTACCTAGTCCCAGTTACTCAGGAGGCTGAGGCAGGAAAATCTCTTGAACCCAGAAGCAGAGGTTGCAGTGAGCTGAGACTGCACTCCAGCCTGGGCAACAGAGTGAGCGAGACCCCATCTCAAAAAAACAAAACAAAACAAAATCACATACAATATTGTGAAAGTCTTCTTCCCTGTGTTTCCTTTTCTAGTCGCACTGCCCCTCCTCCCCAGAGATAACCATTATTACTTACTGTCACTTCTTGTTTATAACCTGTACTCAACCTTTATTAATAGTATACTATTAGCTACACTTGTTTGAAATTCTGGTATTTTGCTGCCTAGCCATGCCCTGGCTTTCCATCTAGAGACCTAAAATATTTAGCTAACAGGACCGTCAGCCTACCTGGACACAGCATCTGTCAGGTCCCCAACCTTGTAAGCTTATCCCTGTATGACTGGCCGAGCCCCAAAATGGCACCTCCCACACCCAGAAATCTCTCTAGAGGCCTTTTGAGACAAGGAGAGAAATATTTGTATATCACACAAAAAATGATTCATAAAGAGACACATTATTATATTTGGGAAAACGCAAATAAAGAATATAAAGTCTACCTAGAGAAGCGAGCATATCATGCAAATCTTCCTTGTCGATGAAACCATCTCTGTTCTGATCAATCATGTTGAAGGCCTCTTTGAACTCCTGAATCTGTGACTGGTCAAACATAGCAAACACGTTGGATGTCGCGCGCTGAGGGCGCTTCTTGGTGGTCTTGGTCTTTGCCTTTTTGCTCGACATGGTGGTGGTTTAATTCTGGAGTTGAAAAAAGCACAAAAATCTAAAACCAAAAAGAATGCAAAAAACACAAAGCAAAAACAGAATACTTTAGGTGTTAAGTTAGTAGGTAAAAATATCAATATGGAATTATTACTTCAATTGCATGGGAATAAGTACACACCTAAACTTTATTTTCAATGTGACAATTAAATAACTGAGTAGGAAAAAAAGCAGTTTTTGAAACATGAAAGAACAGAATTAGCCAGGCGCCAGTGGCTCATGCCTACAACCCAACACCTTGGGAGGCCAAGGTGGGAGGATCACTTGAGACTAGGAGTTCAAGACTTGCCTGGGCAACACAGTGAGATCCCCATCTCTAAAAAAGAAAGAAACAGAATAGAAATTATTGATGTACTTTCTCCTAAATTGCAGCAGACTAATTTTTATCAAGTGAGAATTTAAAATATCTAACAATAGCTAGCATCTATGGAGTACTTACTCTAGCCAAGTACTTTATGAAGGCATAGGGTTTCCCCAAAGAGAAAGTCTCCAAAGTTGATCTCTTACTCTGACAAAGACTGTCCCCATTTAATCTTCACAGTAGTTGCCTATGGTAGATACTCTTATTATTTCCATTTTACTAACAGTATAACATAACCTCTCTAAGCCTCAGTTTTTCCATCAGTAAAACTTGATACCTACGTCAATGCAAGGTAAGAACTAAATGAGGTAACATATGTAAAGACTAGTCATGTTCAAAAAGGTCTCATCTTTGAATCTCAAACCTACCCTTTCATCTTTTAGCCCTTCTAGCTATCCCACCATTTCCCCTTTACCTTGACAAAATTTTCAGAATACCAGTCTAATACTGAACTCCCTCCATTTCCCCTTCTGTTTTTCATTTTAGAGACGGGGATTCTCACTATATTGCCCAGTCTGGTCTTGAACTCTGGGGCTCAAGGGATCCTCCCAAACTTCTGGGAATACAGACATGAGCTACCGTGTGCAGCCCCTTTTCTCTTCTTCCCAAGCAGTCCTTGATTCTCTGTAATATGGCTTTGGTGGTAGCCTCCAACACTTGAAAGCCACCAATAATTTAAATATCAAGCAGAACAGACAATTATTTCTTTTTTTTAATTTGCAGTTTTAAATAATAAATAAAACACAAAAATACCATCAGCTCTGGAGTTAGGAAGTCCTGAGTTCAAGCTCCACCATTACTAGCTACATATCACCTCTGAAAACCTGCACATCTGTAACCCTAACAGCTTTCAGTGAGTTCTGTGAGTCTTAGCAACTAATCAAACCCAAGGGTGGTCTTAGGACATCCAAACTTGAAACTGCTGTCAGAAATGATGATCTTGTAGACTGTTCCATAAATTCCCGCAATGCGAAAACAAATGACTAGACATGCCAATGGCCGAGCAGGGAGATTTGGGACCTGTGTCTCCAGGACTTCTGGTATTGGGATTTTTATACATTTATTGTCTACTTCTATTTCTTCAAGCTAAAGAACATCCCACAGAGTGTTTTGAAGCTTGGCTTAGTGGTGTAGTTTTGAAGTACACCAGCCTTACAGTCCTTACTCTAACATTCCAACCCCTTATCCTCCCCACATACAAGTCCTGAATAAAGTTTAATTTTCTTCTCTTCCCTGTAACTTAGTTGTTATTTGCCCTTAGTTATATCAAAGATTAAATCAGAGACAGAATGTAGTCCACTAACAGGCATTTGATTATGTTTTCATTCTTCAAATACCAAAAACTTAGATTAAGGTTCATTCTCATGCTAAAAATTTTGACTCAATTTCTTGAAGATTAGTCAAGTAAGTCTGAAGGCAAAAATTATTAGTTCTTTCCATCAGCAAGTCATTTTTGTAATAGAGTTATTTAGAAAAAGTTTCCAGAGTTAAATATTTATTTTTAAAAAATAATCAAGTTGGTGCGGTAGCTCACGCCTGTAATCTCAACACGCTGGGAGGCTGAGTCTGGAAGACTGCTTAAGCCCAGCAGTTTGAGACAGGCCTGAGCAACAAAGTGAGATCTTGTCTCCACACACACACACACACAAATTAGCCAGGTGTGGTGGCATATGCCTGTGGTCCCAGCTACTACTCAGGAGGTTGGGGTGGGAGGATCATTTGAGCCTGGGAGGTCGAGGAGAGTAAACTGTGATGGTGCCCCTAACCTCAGCCTGGGTGACAAAAAGAGACCTTGTCTCAAAAAATCGTAGGAAATCAAATAAAAATCAGTCAATTGTATCATGCTACCTCTACAGCTAACCCCAAAAGTATACTATATTTAAACATGTTTGAAGTTTAGTCTAAGTTCTCCAAGAAGCTAATACCAAGATGGGATTAAACACCCAAGGATTTTATTAGGGGAAATGCCTGTGAGAAAGAATAGGGAGTTAGCCTGATAAGTCTAGAAGAGCCATCACCATCTGATGGTGACCCCCAAGAGAAGGAAACACAAAAGGCAAGTTGATGGAAGAGAACAAAAAACAATTCACTCACTGGTCCCAATCAAATACATTACAGCAGATATAGGCTCAATGTAGTAATACTGTATTTTAAATTTTTGTTCATACTTCATTTAAAAACTGGCATATTTGTATATACATATGGTACCTATAAAAACTATACATACAATATCAGCTGAAAAGTGAAGCAAAGTTGTATCAAAATAATCAATCTGAAGGGAACTGTGGCCCCCAAAGAAATTACCACCCTCCCTCCTTCCCTTCTGAAATAAGCATCTTGGCTGTCTCCACCTTCTCACTTCCCACTCAATTTCCAACCTGCCACAATCTGGCTTTCTGTTCCTTACTGCAACTGCTTTAATTGCCAGGTCTGGTCTAATCTTGAATCAGTCTACTGTATGACACTATTTTATCCCTCTTTTCTTTGGAGACTCAGCCACTGTTAGCCTGGTGCTCCATAACAGCAGAAATCAACTGTCCCAGGTGGAAAGGGTCCCAACCTTGAAGAACTTACGCTCTAATGAGGAAGCCTGCTAAGTATTATGTTGGAAAGACTGATTATAAAATTGTTTATTTGACTTACTCTAGCTCAGCTCTCCTATTTCTAAGACTTCTTCCTCCATTTTCTTCTTAGTTTACCTCCTCTTAAATATTCTTATTTCCCAGTATTCTGGCAGCACATGGTTTTAAGTTCTTTTCAGTCTTCATTCCTTGGATGATCTCATCAACTTTCACTGTTCTGACAACACCTACACCCCCCAAATCTGAACCTCCAGGCCTGACATCTCCTTGGAGCCTCGGACTCAAATATCTAAATGCCTGTGAAAGGCACCCATCTGGATATCTCACAGACATTCATAATCAACATGCTGAAAACTCAATTATCTCCCCACTCCTGAACTTTCCCATCTTTCTGTTTCCAATCATCTACCCACAAGCCAGAAACCTAGGAGTCAACCTCCCAAATCCCTCTCCCTGATGATTGAGAAATATTTCTCAGAGTTGCTCATCTTCTTCATTCCTCTGCCACCACCCTAAACTGGATCCTTATTACCGCTTGTGTAAAATATTTCTATCGCCTCCTCACTAGTCCCCTTGCCTTTTGGCTCTCTCAAAACTACCCTTAGTTTTCTAGCCACGGTTGTCTAAAACATAAATATGATCACCTCATCATTCCACTTTTCAAAATCTTCTTTGGCTCTCCTCTTCCTAAAGTACCAAGTTCCTGTGCATGGCACATGAGTCTTCCTGTCCCCACTCTAGAATGACCCTTCCAGCCTCCTCTCTAGCCATTCTCTGCTTTGTACTTTTCCTTTAGCAACACCAAACTGCAAATGTCCCCGAGGCACTATGACATTTCTTATCTTGTGTATCTTTGTTCTTGCTATTTTTCCAGCCCCAATTGCCCTGATCTACTTGTCTGCCTTAGGAACACAGAGAAAATTAAAGGTCTACTCAACTTACAGCTACTATCATTTATTAAGTGACTCATGTGCTAGAAACATTATGTGCATTAAATGAAACATGCCCATCTGCCAAATGAAGAAATCGAGGGTCAAAGATATTAAATAACTTGCCCAAAGTCACCTAGTGGCAGAGCTAGGGTTCAAACCCCATTTGTTACAGGTTGTTCACCCTGTATATTTTCTACTTCCTTCTAAATACTCTTCTAATTATTTTGAGTTTGACACAAAATTTTTAAAAACTTTCAATTCTATCAATATAATTCAACACTGATTTCTGAGCAGCTACATTCCTCTAAAGTCAAATCCTAGACAAATTGAGTTTTCAAATAAAGCCAAACTATACAAGAGAAATCAACGTACAGAATAGAATCGCAGTGAGTAATTGACATGTAAATGGCAATCCCTGGAATTGTGCAGTGTAGTAGCCCAGGTTGGGTTTGGTCAGGTGGCAGCTATCAGTCATAGCTTTCATTTGAAACTTTGATCTAGGACTGTCAAATTTATTAAGGTTCAACTTAAAAGCATTCAAAAACAAAAACAAACCAAAAAAAAACCCAATCCAACCCTTGAAGTACAGACAGAAAATAGCCATACAGAACACAGCACAAATGAATGTAATAACCCTCAACAGCAGTAAAAACACTTCTTCCTTCCTCTGTAAAACTGTTACTCTGATATTGCTATAAATTTCTAATATAAAGTGAACTAAAGGATAGAATTAGTACTCAGAGGTTACATCAAAGGCAGGCATGTAGGAATTGATACAGCAGTCCCTCCTTATCTGAGGGGGATACATTCCAAGACCTCCAGTGGATGCCTGAAACCAGGGATAGTACCCAACCCACATAGCCAGCCCTCCATATCCACAGGTTCCACACTCACAGATTCAACTGAGAATCAATTGTTTATTTGAAAAAATACAAACAAAAAATACAACAATAAAAATACAAATAAAAATACAGTATAACAACTATTTACATGGTATTTGCATTATATATTATAAGCAATCTAGAGATGATTTAAAGTATTCAGGAGGATATGTGTAGGTTTTATGCAAATACTATGCCATTTTATATGAAAGACTTGAGCATCTGCAGATTCCAGTATCTGCAGGAGGGTCCTGGAACCAACCCTCTGCAGATACAGATAAATGACTATATATAGTTTTTTTTTTCTTATATATACATATCTATGATAAAGCTTAATTTATAAATTAAGCACAGTTAAGAGATTAACAATAATAAAATAGAATATACTGTAACAAAAATTATGTGAATGAGGTCTGTCTCTGAAAATATCTCATTGTACTGTACTCACTTATTTTCAGACCTCAGTTGACCACAGGTAACTGAAACCCAGAAAGCAAAACCATGGACCACAGAAAGAAGCATAATATAGGACTACTGCATTATGTGTTATAGGTGGCTGTGGTATCAACATACTTGGTTGATAATAAAAATGTTTGCAAAGTCACCTGCAGTACTGATATGCAAAGAGAAACATAGACACCATCATCATTAATAAGTAGAAATTATCTATGAACTTCAGCTTTATCGAAAGCTTGGGGAAGATGCTCACAGAGCACATTCTGTCAGCCACCTATGACTTCGTTTGAGGCTTCAAGTCAGCTAGAGCAAGTAAATATGGCTCTTAAAGCAGTTATATCCTCTGGTTTCAATCTTGGCTGCAGAAAGTGATGCCTGTAGCCTCAAGGTAATGGAATATCTGGGAGTGGAGCCGAGGCATCTGTATTTTCAAAAATGCACCAGGTGATTTCAATGCACATTGAAGGTTAAGAACCACTTAGTGTATGAAGTTAACCACTCAGATCACACTGGCTGTTTATGCATCTAGTTCCCCTTACTTTTTCAATGTCATCATTACGGTTTAACGAAGATGCTGGATGATAAAACTAATTCCAGATGAATGACAGAATTATAGTTCTATTATTCACAAGTTGTATGACTGCTGGTCACTTTGGCTTTCCCAGGCCTCATTTGTCTTCAACCATAAAATCAGTGTTAGGTAGATCAGAAGAAATAACTTCGCAGCTACTAAACTACATGTAGTCTACACAGAGGTTCATTTAGTAATCCCCAGGCATGACCTTTAAAATGCCTTTTAAAAATTGAATTAGTCTGCCAACATTTAAAAAAATTGAACATTTTACATAACCTAAATTTCAGATATTTTAAACAACTGTACAATAAGGAATCACCTGACCAGCATCCTGGAAATTCCTGCAGGTAATAATTGCTTGTTTAACAAGCAATCCCCTCTACTCCCTACATTTCCTTATCCCAGCAGGTACTAATTTATCTGCCTGGCCCCTCAGAGCACTTAAACTTGCTCCTCTGGTCATGGTGGTAGCCAGGTTCCAAGAAAGTCCTCAACAATTCTCATGCCCTTGTGCAGTCCTCTCCAACAATGAAAAGTGTTGACCTGTGTAACCAATAAGATATTGTGAAATGAGGGTGTTTGGCTTTGTCATAATAGACCTTTCAGCTTTTGCCCTGCTGTCTTGGATCACTCAATTGGCAGAAGCCAGGTCATGAAGACACTCACACAGCCCTATGGAGAGATCCATGTGGCAGGGAACTGAGGATTTCTGCTAACAGCGAGCACCAACTTGTCAGCTATGTGACTGACATTCGGGAGGCTGACCTTCCTTCAGACAACTGCAGCCCCTGGATGCAACCTCATGAGAGACCCTGTGCCAGAACCACCCACCTAAGCTGCTCTGGCTCTGCCCCTCAAAAATTGTTTATTGTTTCTAAGGTGCTAAGTTTCGGAGTAATTTGTTGTACACCAATAGAAAAGTAATAAAATCACTGTCTCCTTGACCTCTTTAATGTTAAAATAGGGCAATGCCTTTATTTCAGAATTACAGCCACAATCCAAGTTTCAAGGGACCACAATCAACTTTGCATAGCACCAGGAAGTTTCCATTTCTAAGCAGAAAAGTTTAACTCCTTCTTCTCAGTTGCCATCCAAGTTCTGTAGGTTCTTTTTACTGCACGAGTCACCCTTCCTCAATCAACATTCCCATCATCACCATCCTATTCTTTTGGCTGAATTTCTCTGGCTCCGACCAGCAAAACACTTCCTGATTTGCTAGTTATACTCATTTTCCAATTGGGGTCTCAAAGCTCTGTCCTTTTTTCTAAGTACTGACTGAAAAACTGGTAGCATAAAGGTGCCACTCAAAAATGAGATAATTGGGAAGGGGAGGGAGGAGCTGATTTTGCGAGCAAAGGATGATAAACAGCTCTAATTTTAGCTAGGCCACAGTAGAATGCTAGCAGAGAAGGCAGGACTCTGAGGGGGTCACGCTTAGCAATGCTGATTTGTGAGCAGAGGCACAAGGTAAAGCCCTCAGAATAGATGAACTCACATAGAAAAGCAGACAGTAGTTCTTGGGCTAACCTAAGGTCATTTTTTACTCCACCTCATCTTCACCAAGGTCTATTAGAATCTTTAGAAATTTCTCATGGATTCCCATGGTTATTACTGTAGTCAAGATGAATGTTCTAACTGGAAGACTCAAATGATTGGTTACATAAATGACAGTCTGAAAACAGCAGTCATAAACAGAATTTATTATATATCAAGTTAAAATACTTCACAGAATTAACATCATATACTTAATGACATATCATTGTTTTTATGCTGCATATTTAGGCAAAAAAGATAGTTCCATAATTATATGTATTTTTTTAGGGAGCCAAACTCAATTTTTTCAACTTTTCTTAACATCAGGGAAGCACTTCCCCTAATACTCTACATGTATTTTACCACTTACCCCAAACATATAACACTGACATTTCCTTCTCTATTATAGGTTTTATGATCATTCCAGTTAGCTGTGAACTTTCTATTCTCTGAGGTCCCATATCATTTTGTTTTACTGCAGTGAAATTCATATACATTCAAATGTACAAACCTTAATTTTTTTTTTTTTTTTGAGACAGTCTCACTCCGTCACCCAGGCTGGAGTGCAGTGTGTGATCTCAGCTCACTGCAACCCCCACCGCTGGCGTCAGGTAGCTATGCATGTGCCACCCCGTCCGGATAATTTTTCTATTTTTAATACAGACGACGTTTCACCATGTTGGCCAGGGTGGTCTTGAATTCCTGGCCTCATGATCCACCCACCTCAGCCTCCCAAAGTGCCATGATTATAGGTGTGAGCCACCACACCTGGCCTCTTAATAAGTTTTTATAATGTGTATACCCATGTAACCAGCGTCCCAATTAAGTTACAAATGTTGACATTGTTCCAGAAAATTCTCTCCAAGTTAACCACCATCTTCCACGGGCAACCACTGTTCAGATTTCTATCACCAAAGATTAGTTTTTTTCTTTGAACTTCTTATAAATGGAATTGTACAGTACATATCCATATATACGCCTGTCTTCTTTCACTCAATACAATGTTTTGAAGTTCACCTCTCATACTGGGTTTACGGCACAATCATAGCTCACTGTAGCCTTTAACTCCTGGACTCAAGTGATCATCCTGCCTCAGCCTCATGAGCAGCTGGGACTACAGGCATGAGCCACCACACCCGGCTACTTTGCAAGAAGGGGGTAGGGCGCTAGAGATGGGGTCTTGCTATGTTGCCCAGTTTGGTCCTGAACCCCTGGCTTCAAATGATCCTCCCACTTTGGCCTCCCAAAGCACTGGGATTACAGGTGTGAGCCACCATGCCTGGCCATATTGCCTTTTGCCTTTCCACCTTGGACTGTGGAACTTAGTAGTGTGCCTTGCACACAGCAGGTGGTCAAAGAGTCCTAGTTAAGCAAATACATACATATATATATGGCTCCTTCCTGTCACAAACAGAATTACACATATATGTTCATTACAAGGTAGGTCCCGGATCTGAATTCCAATATGAGGCTTTTCTCTATGGTCTACCTATGGTTTCAGTCTCTTCCCCAAGAGATCCCTAAGGACACTTAGCAGCTAACCCCTGCTCCATACTTGGAAGAAGCAGTACTAACCAGGGACAATAACTGAGTGCTGAAGATGTACCAGGCACTGATTTAAGCATCCCGTTTGTGTTAATACATTTAGTCCTCACAACAACTTATAATATGGATACTGTTACCATCCTCTTCTCTCGGACGAGAAAATCAGGGTAAAGAGAATAAACAACTTGCCACACAGCTAGAAAATGGCAGAGCTCAGAACCAGGATCTGTATTCAGGAAATCTAGCTCCAGAGCTTGAACCACTGGCCTCTAATATCCTGCATAGAGGCAGCTGAAATTCCCTACCATGAAAATGTGAATAGATGGGAGTAACAGGCAATGACACCCCAAAGCTAATGTGTGGAATGAGGAAGAAAGATCCCAAAGATGCTGGCAAAAAGGGTATGATAAACTCATCCCCAGATACCTGGAGTCTTTAAATCTTGGGAGAAGGGGAAAACTAGCCCCATGTTGGTGCCCCTGTTCTCTTTCCTAACCGTAGCAACCCTCGTCTGGGGATCTGTCCTTCGGAAGTTGCAGTTCATCTTATACAAGCTTAGTCTCATCAAAGCATAAACAAACACTGAATCAGCTATCATAAAAGTTGTTTCACTCTTGGGGCCACAACAAAGTCTAGAATCATTATAGAACCCGGCCAAAAAAAAAAAAGTTGTTTCACTCAACAGAGCCTTCACAAGGCAAAAGCTGTGCTCTTAGTTATAAAGTTCGGGGCGGGGGGTGGGGTTCACCACCTTGGGCAAATTACATCACCTCTCTGGGTTTCATTTTCCTCAGTTACAAAATGCAAGGGCTTCACAAGGTAATCTATAAGGTCCTACTGAATTCTAAATGCTATGATTCCTCTCTTAACAAAAGACGATTACAAATCCATCTTAAACTAAAGCTGCCAAGTGAATCCTCTAAACATCCCTTTCTTATTATTCCCTTAGTGAAGACTCCAAAATTACTCTCTATGGCTTATCTAATCTTTTCTTTCTCCTACGTTTTCAAGACACCCATAAGAAGGTCCCACTTACCTATCTATCCTTATTTCCAACTATTAGTCATTACAGTTCTGTTCCATACCCGCTGGTCTTCCCACGGTCTGCTTTTCACAGAACACAATTCTGAGCTTTTGAGTTGTGCTCTTGTTACCACCTCCCACACATCTAGCCGGAAACGCTAAGTTCTCCCTCCTAGGGCTGAATACAAGGCCTTCAGTGAAGTCACGATTCTTTTCCAAGTAACCTTTCCAGATTTCTGTTAATTGTCCTTTCTTCAATCAACACGAATGAACTAAACCTTTATAGAAGGTGCAAGGCACGTTGAGAGAATTACAACTCGATGTAAATCATTACATTTGAACCTTTATCAACCACACACTCGGGTACCGGATTGTTAATGGTTTCCTTGGAGGCTTCACCTTAGGCAAGACCGTGCACTAGGAGGCTCCTGCACCCTCCAAAGCATCTAGGACAGTGTGGGGCACAGGGCAGGTGCTCCACACGAATACGCCCTGCCAGCCCTAATCCACCGCCAGGGTCCGCCACGGCCCAGGGAGGGCAGGTGTTGGCTGCAGGGCTGTTCGGCGGTCCAGGGCCCAGGTGAATGAGGTCACCCAGGTGGCGCAGGGCCGGCCACCTCTCTAGCAGGGCGTCTCCTCAGCCCAGCTCCATCGCCTGCAGCCTCCCGGCCCCTGGACGTCGCGGGCCAGGGTCTCGCCGCCTACCCTCCTTCCTCCACCTCCGGCCCCGCGCCCCCACCTCAGCCAGCCTGACAGGTCCGGCCGCCGCCCGGCCGCACTGGGGCGGGGTCCGGCCGCAGACGCGCGACCGCAAGGGACGTGGGGACACGGAGGCGGCCCAAGGGGTCCCGCGAGCGGGGTCGAGAGCCACTCACCCGGCGCCAAACACCAGAACTGAGGCCGCCTTGCGCGAGACGACGAGCAACAGCTAAGAGCACAGGGCTGCGGCCGGACAGTGGCGGCGCCGGCACTTCCTGCCTGGAGGGGCGGAGCGGAAGGCGCACCGGAAGGCGCGGCGAGACCAACTGGAACGGGGGTGCGCCGGCTATTCGCGCCCGGGCTGGCAGAGTCTGCGTGTTCGCAGAGAGGCGGGGCTGCTGGCACCGGTCGGACACGGCCGGGGTCTTAGCTGCCCCTCCGGCCTGCTCCGACCTGCTGCGGTATAGCTGCCTGCGCCGCGGCGGTCGCCCGCAGCCCAGCCCTCGCCACCCGCTCCCCGCGGCAGCTCCGCGGCCCTTCCGCATTCCTGGGCCGGCTGGGCGCGGCGAGGCTGGGCGCTGGAATTTGACCCCGGCGGGCCGCGATCAGCCGAGGATTTGGGGTCCCCTTTGACCCAGGCGCGTCGCGATCCGCCGAGGGTTTGGGAGGGCCGAACCCTGAGTTGCCAGATTTTGCAAGTAAAAGTACAGTTCTCCTAAATTTGAATTTCAGACAAGTCAGGTTTTAGGGTTCGTCCCGTGTGATGTCAAGTGAGGGCGCCGCCCGGGGAGGATTCTCGTCCGCTCCAGATCCCTTTCTCTTTTCAAACCGCATTCCAGAGAGTTAAATCCTTTAACCTACTCCTCCTATCTTACCCTCATAAGGTTTACGGCCACAGCCTACGGCTGTTTCATTCCCCTTTTAGCTACAAGAAACTTTTATTCAAATTATTTGCTTTCCTTTAAATTATCAAGAAAATGGCAACGCACACACATACACACAGACACAGACATATATAATGCTTTTGGCCAAAACAAAGGAAAACACCAAACTACGTTTTTCAGATTTTGTTCTAGATCGTGTTTAGGGCTATGCTCTTTAGGATATTTTACCTCACCTTGAGGTAATGTAGATGAATAGCATTACTTCAGGATGGTGGAGAATGGCAATCTAATAGCAAATCTTTATTGACCTCTTCTTACTGCTTTAACCAGTGTCGGATGCTGAGAGATGAAGGCAAAGCCTCTTTTCTCAGGGAGTTTATATTCTAGCAATCTTTGATCAGAAATTCCTAGAAGGGAGGGACCTTGTGTTCAGCACTTTACAGCAGTAGTTCTTAAACAGTAGCATACATCATAACCCACAGGGCTTTTAAAATCATTTTTGAGCCTCGAAACCGGGTATTAGGATTCAGTGAGTAAGGCGTGGAGGATAATTAGAATTTCTGGTAAGCACCCACGTGCTGCTGATGTGGTGGTCCTCATCCCAGCAGCGCAGCTCTAAATCCAGTTCATAACTGTATTTTCTCAAGTGTTAGAAAAGTAATTGCTGAAAAGGCACACCTGGTTCTACAATATTTACTCTTTCCCTTAACTGCAGCCTAGGTTTTGGTTTGATAGTTTAATTTTTTTAAAAAATAAGTTTCTAGATTTGTGCTGTCCAATACAATAGTCACTAACCAACTGTGGCTAAAGTTAATTTAAAATTCAGTTCCTCAGTTGTATTTGATACATTTTATTTTTAGAGATTGGGTCACCCTATGTTGCCTAACCTGGAATGCAGTGGTTATTCACAGGTGTGATCATAATGCACTACAACCTGGAACCCCTGGGCTCAAGCAATTGTCTCACCTGAGCCTCCCACGTAGTAGTTGGGACTACAGGTGAGAGACACTGCACCAGTGCACCTGGCAGTATTAGACACTTTTTTTTTTTTTGAGACGGAGTCTTGCTCTGTCACCCAGGCTGGAGTGCAGTGGCATGATCTCAGCTCACTGCAACCTCAGACTCCCAGGTTCAAGCAATTCTCCTGCTTCAGCCTCCTGAGTAGCTGGGACTACAGGCCAAGTGCCACCACACCCAGCTAATTTTTATATTTTTAGTAGACACGGGGTTTCACCATGTTGGCCAGAGTGATCTGGATCTCTTGACTTCGTGGCCCACCTCAGCCTCACAAAGTGCTGGGATTATAGGCGTCAGCCACCCCGGCCGGCCAGTATTAGACACATTTTATGCGCTCAATAGCCACATGTGGTTAGTGTCCCTATTGGATGGCACAGAGAACATTTCTATCATTACAGAAACTTCTATTTGACAGCACTGTTCTGAAGAAGTAATTCTAAGGTATATTGTCTTCTCTAGATGCAAAAGAAAAGCCTATAATAAATAGGCCTTATTTATTAATAAAAATTTATTCACTAATAAAAGAATAGCTGGGTATCTAAATATGTATCATTGGGAAATTGTTAATTATAGCATACCCACGTCAAAGATAAGATAACTGAAGTTAAGAATGGTTGAAAAAGCAACATACTCAAAACAAAACAATGGTGGCTATGCCAAAACATGAGATATGATTTAAGTAGTCAATGAAACAAGTTGTAAATTCATTACAACTCTAAAATGTATGTGGATAAATACTGGAGAAAAGTCATAATTTGTGCTATTTGAGCAGACACAGCAAAATCTAAAATAAAAAGACATAGGTACTTGGAAGATGAAAGAGCAAGCAGAAATGGAGTAAGCAGCAGTGGAAAAACTGGGCATTTCTTCTTTGTGGAATTAGCTACAACAATCCCTTTATGGACAGAAAAGATAAAAATGAGTTTCCAAGGAAATCAATAAATTGTACCTGTGAAGAGGACCTAATGCTACACACGTGAGTCTGGCATATTGGACCTGCTCAGGATAGCGAAAGTCAACTATTTCAGCATCCACTAGGTACCAGACAAACTGACAGGCATTTCTATGCATAGTCTTATAAAATCTTCCTAAGAACCTGTTAATGAAATTCTAGTTTGAAATCCATTCACTTTTCTAAGGGCAATCCTCCATGTGATCTAGGTTCTGTCACTTCCTAGTTTTTAGACATGATCCATTTTGTTTCACTGTTTCCTCCTAGTTTGTCTTCTTCCACTCAGCCTATAAACAGGCTTGAATCTCTACTTCAAAGATAGGCCTTTTGACCCTTCTCCTCACTGGCTCACTGGTAAACAGAATAACTACTATTTGGATACCTAATGTGTCCCAGTCCATTTGCCTTTCATGTTTCTAATTTTCAGAAGAAACTTGGATGGTATTGGCCATTTTACAGACGAGGAAACTGGCAATTAAGCATGATCAAAAACACAAGCTAGTCAAATAAGCAGGTGCAATTCACTTAACTAAGTATGGCTCCAAGTCCACCCTGCTCTTAATCACACAAATGCTGCTTTATATATTAATAGTATGTTCCTGATATGAACCAACAGCATTATTTCTATTTTATAAATGAATAAATAGGCCAAGGGAGTTTAAATAATTTACGTAAGGTTATAAAGCCATTATGTAGCAACAAATGGGAATTAAGTGTAGGTCTGTCTGACCCCCTCACCTAGGCATTATTCACTATCCTGTATTGCATTATGGATTCTGGACTCAAAACTCAGTGCCTAATAGCTCTATCAAACATGACTAATCTTGTCAAATCTCGGGGTGGGGGGGTCTCATTTAAACCTTCCCAGACTCCACTTTTCTGTGTTGGACACTACTGACTAACCTCCTAACTCTCAAAATTAACTAGGTTTCTGTAAGACTGCATTTGTGGTTCAATTTACCTCTCTGAACTCTTTGATCATTTTTTATCTGATCCTCAAGTCTCGGTGTTAAATCTCTTGCTGTCCTTCCTCTTTTGACTTTGTAGAAAATGGTTCCGTTTCTTTCTCAATTTGCTTTTGTCTCTTATGCTCTGGCCTTCCTCCTTTCTTTCCCAGGAGCATTCAATTCTTGCTCTCATCAAGTCATCGGTTCTTTCAAGTAAAATTTGGGGCCTGGAATCCAAATGACCATATCAACATATGCAGGTGGATAAGGATGCCACCCTGATTAGATCGGCTTTGTCCAATTTTTTTTTTTTTTTAGTAATAGCATTTAGTAATTTTTTTTTTTAGTAATAGCAATTTAGTAATTGCTCTGTCACCCCAGGCTGGACTGCAGTGGCACAATCAGCTCACTGCAGCCTCAAAGTCCTGAGCTCAAGCAATCCTTCCACCTCAGCTTCTGGAGTAGCTGGGACAGGCACCTGCCACCATGTCTGGCTAATTTTTATTTTTTAATTTTCATGTAGAGTTGGGGTTTTGCTTTGCTGCCCAGGCTGATGATGAACTTCTGGCTTCAAGCAGTCTTCCTACTTCGACCTTCCAAAGTGCTGAGATTACAGATGTGAGCCACTATGTCCAGCTGGAACTTTTGAAATGTTTTGTTTCAAGTATGACTTTCATCATGGAAACTTTTGAGACTGATTTTTCAGTCAAACACACCATTGAAATGGATGCTTTTACCTTTCTATTGGCAATCATTCTTGTTTAAGCAAAGAATGCTATTACTAAATTAAGATAATTATTTCATTCAGGGTACATCATTGTTCTTAATGCAAGTTGGTTCTATGAACAGTTAATTGAAAGGGAAACAGGGACCCTGCAAGAGATCATTTTAGTAGTACCATGTTTTTCATACAGTGGAAACAATGTTACCTGTTCTTCACTAGAGATTTAACAAAGCAGATGATAATTTTTTCTCTTGAAATGGAAATTCAATTCAAAAAACAAGATTTTAGCACCATGGCCATAGCCCGGAAAAAGTATTTTGGCTTAACTGCTGAATAAAATTCAGAAACAAAAGACAAAGATTCAAGGCAGGTTCTAATGTTGAAGAAAGCAAGGAATAGCTTTGACCAGTCCTTCTATTCCCATAGCATTGGCCTTCCCAGGTTACAGGAGCTAGCTGATCTATCTTACTGGCTGCAAAGGCCTGCTGCCCAGAAGGCTTTTAGTAATTGTTTACTGAATGAGGTAATGGTTTGTCCAAGGAAAGTCATGTTAATAGTAGCATTAAACTTGAAGTTACTAGAGTAATTGTCAATTACTCATCTTCATAGGCTACTTGTCAACTCTTTTCAACCAACTTTTTCTCCATTTCAAATATTTTATAACTCATGAATCTTGGAGAGTCAGAATTTTGGGCTGGGCATGGTTGCTCACAACTGTAATCCCGGCACTTTGGGAGGTAGAGGTGGGAGGATCACTTGAGCACAGGAGTTTGAGACCAGCCTGGGCAACATGAGACCTTGTCTCTACAACAAATTAACAAATTAGCCGGGCATGGTGGCACATGCCTGTAGTCCCAACTACTCAGGTGGCTGAGACAGATAGAAGGATCACTTGAGCCTAGGAGGTCAACGCGGCAGTAAGCTGTGATCATGTCATTGTATTCCAGCCTGGGTGACAGAGCGAGAGACCCTGTTTGGAAAAAAAAGAGAATCTTGAAGTCCTTTGAGAGTTAAATTTTTAAAGCCAAAAAAGAATGAAACTGTCTACCACTCCCTGATTAACTCTGAAACAGTTCTGCATTTCTGCAAATAGCAGAAGTTATTTCTAGGACTGAAATAATGACCTCACTTTCCCAGGCATGTAGGTTCAGCTGTTTTGATTGTGGGAAGGTCAGGAATGTCAAAAACTCACACATGGACTCATGGTGAATCTTTGCATAAACAAGTATGATTATATGATTTCTTTTTTTTTTTTTTTGAGACAGTGTTTCATTCTTGTTGCCAAGGCTGGAATGCGGTGGCGTGATCTCAGCTCACTGCAACCTCCACCTCCCCGGTTCAAGCCATTCTCTTGCCTCAGCCTCCCGAGTAGCTAGGATTACAGGCATGCGCCACCACACCTGGCTAGTTGTATTTTTAGTAGAGATGGGGTTTCTCCATGTTGATCAGGCTGGTTTCAAACTCCCAACCTCAGGTAATAGGCCTGCCTCGGCCTCCCAAAGTGCTGGGATTATAGGCGTGAGCCACCGTGCCCGGCCCCACAGATATGATCTTTCAATAGGGATTGCTGTGTTAAAGAAAAACTACATATAATAAAAAAAATACTGCATTATATTTCCAGCACTTTGAAATATAACGCAAAAGTCTCTCTTTGATAGCATTCCACAGATCCTTTAAGCCAAAATATTTTTTAAAAATAGGACAAATTAAAATTACACTCAGTAACCTGGTCTAATTTTAAATGACCAGAAATTACAAAAGTTTAAAAAAAGTGGAAATGTTGGCAGGTATGTCAACTTAAGGACTTAAAGCTACAAAAACTATCATATATATGCTAATTCTACAGGAAATTATCTTAAGACTTGGAAACAAAATGCAGAAAACCTGATCAGGGCAGTTAAAATTGAATATCCTTGGGAAGAGGAGGAATGAATAGTAGATAGAGGTAGGATTGTTAGGAAAATTGGAGGGAGGAAGAGAAAGGTCTAATAACCGAATCATTTTCTAGGATTTCCCTCATCTACCTTTCTTTGGAAGATACAAGTAAAACCAACAACAGCCAATTTTGGTAAATAAGAAGTTTAAACAATTAAGTATTTTATCATAAAGTTTAATTATGGTTCAGAAAAAAATGAGAGAATAACTTTCTCTGAAAAAATATATTGACTCTGTATAGACTGCAGTTATTGGAAGGAGGGGCTGGTAGGTTACATTACCCTATTTTCTAGTCTGAAAATGATATTAATAGAAAGTCCCGTTTCCAGTCTGGTATAAAGATACATGTGCCCAAAATGGCTGCGAATAAATACAACAGGAAATGCAAAAGCTGTAAAGCTAAGGGCATGCAAGAGAAAATCTCAGAAACACCCAAAGTGGCAACAAGGAGCGTTTGGCTGGAATCTGAATTTCTTTGAGTCATCTTTGTCTTTTGCTCCATGTTTCAGGATGCGTGTGAACTCGATGTAATTGAAGTTCCCCTTTTTGTCAATAGGTGCTTCTCTGTACAGCTCATCCACTTCCTCATCCGTAAACCGATCCCCCATGGTTGTCAGCAGCTCTCTCAGGTAATCTTCCTGAATGGTGCCTGGAGAATAAACAGAGAATCAGAATACATACTACTCTTAGGGTTAATTACAAAGAATATCTATGCTCGACTAAGCATGTTCTGTATGTTAAAAACTATAAACATGCAAACATATGAAACATAGGGTGTCTACCTACTTAAAACAACCTCAGCAGAGAAGTGCCTAGAAAAATGCCCAGCTGCTTAGCAGCATCACTCTGCTCTATCATTCTGCCTCCACATTCAGCTTCTGATCTCTTGATACTAGAGGCTAAACCTAGGCCTAAACAAAGTAATAAAAAGTATGGTTAAAGAACCTAAGCCTTATGGTTCCTTCAAGTGGCATGAATGGTCACACCTTATTCTATAAGCAAGTAACATTTACCTGCCTTACTAAAATCAGCATTACATCATATACATCAAAAAAGTGGTATAGTGGAAAGAATACTGGAAACTTCAAGCCTAGTTTGTTTTTTTTTTTTTTTTTTTTTTTTGAGATAGAGTCTTGCTCTGTCACCAGGCTGGAGTACAGTGGCACAATCTCAGCTCACTGTAACCTCCGCCTCCTGTGCTCAAACGATTCTCCTGCCTAAGCCTCCTGAGTAGCTGGGACTACAGGGACACACCACCATACCCAGCTAATTTTTGTATTTTTAGTAGAGATGGGGTTTCACCATATTGGCCAGGATGGTCTCGATCTCTTGACCTCATGATCTGCCCTGCCCGCCTTGGCCTCCCAAAGTGCTGGGATTACAGGCATGAGCCACCTTGCTCAGCTGAGGCCCACTTTTAATAAGCTATGTTATTTCAGGCATTTCGCTTCATCCCTGACTTTGGTTTTCTCATATGTAAAATGAGATTATTAGAGCATCAACGATGTGGCAGGCACTGTGCTAGGCAGTGGGGGTATGCAGTGGCAAGCTGAAAGGTGTGCTCTTTACCCTGGGAGTTTGATACCAGGGTTCTCATAAAACCTGCTTGCCTACAAGAATCAGATTTCATCCCTGATTAATTATCTGGTATTGGCATTTTTAAGATTCTCCAAATAACTGGCACGTACATGTGGAGAGCCTTGAAAGCCAGAGACCATGTTTCCACCAGCAGGCCCTGGCAACCACCCATGTTTAAACTAGTCCTAGTATTGCAGGCAACCAAAGAGTGTTTCTTCCTACTCTAAACACATTTGGCTATGCCATGTGAGTTGGGAATCATGGAAAATATTCCCTCATTATGTTTTCTCTTACATACACTTCTGCCAAAGGATCAGGCCCCTATACAGTTAACATTTTTTTTTTTGAGTTAACTGTATGCCACACAGTATGCTAAGTACTTCATGTACATCTCACTTCCTCATTAATTCTTAAACAACCCTATGAGGTAGGTAATATTGCCCATTTTACAAATAAGAAAACAGAGGCTTAGAGAAAGTTAAGCAACTTGCCCAAAATTACACAGCTATTATGTGGAAGAGGAATTTGAAGCCAGGTAATCTAATTCCAGACCCTAAGTTCTACTGGGTGTATTTTAAAATAAAGTTTAGATGTCAGATTTAAACAATTTGAGAGCTGACAAATAACTGGTAAACACACACAGGATTATAGTGATGCTACAGCCTATAACAATTTATACTTCATCCAAGATGGTTCTGGTACAAGTTTTTTATTTAATACATATTTTCTGAGAGCCTAATCCTTGTGGAGTTAACACGCTAGGAAAGGGGTAATGTAAGTTTCCCAAAGACGTTTCAAATACAACCTATTCATTGTAAACTACTAACTATTTAGGGCAGATGCAGCTAAGTAAGTGACAAATACACCAAGAGAAGTCTAAAAAAACAGGTGTGGTATAAACCTAAGCACGTTATGTTATCATATTTTAAGTTACTGTATATTTTAGTTACCATAACTAAAAATTAAATCACTTTGTAATTAAAGGTTACCTCTCACTTACCAGTTGCTTCTTCATCAAAGCAAGCAAAAGCATTTCTGATGACATCTTCAGGATCTGTGCCGTTTAACTTCTCACCAAACATAGTGAGGAACATGGTGAAATTGATCGGGCCTGGAGCCTCATTCATCATGGCATCCAGGTACTCATCAGTTGGATTCTTCCCTAAATAAATGTTTTAAAAGGTTCATAATTTTAATTACATTATAATACACATCAACTATTAATGACAGTAAACATTTTGGCAAGAAAGACTATCATTCATACGGTTTGCTGTTTGCACTCATGAAAGCAAAACTATTTGGGGGGAAAAGTCTTCTTAATGAATAGGGCCTATTAAAGAGTCTAGAGAGTTTATGATATTCCACTGGAATGTCACAAGGAGTAATACTGCTTCCATAATCAAGACCAGTGTTTTTACACACACACACCCTCCAACCCAGTCCTAAGAGAGGGCCAGCAATCTTCTGGTGGTCTGGTGGGAAACACTGTTCCACACTTTACTTGAACCTTAGTAGACTCATTAGACAGGCTTCACAGAGCTTTAATAAACATGAAAGGCACCATGGAAATTCTTATCTATCCAATAGATTAATACTTAAACTGAGCGTTACCTAACGAAGCAAGCATATCATGCAAATCTTCCTTGTCGATGAAACCATCTCTGTTCTGATCAATCATGTTGAAGGCCTCTTTGAACTCCTGAATCTGTGATTGGTCAAACATAGCAAACACATTGGATGTTGCGCGCTGAGGGCGCTTCTTGGTGGTCTTGGTCTTTGCTCTTTTGCTTGACATGGTAGTGGTTAAATCCTAATTAGGAAAGGAAATACAATAAAAACCAAATCAACATCTAAGATTACTTAAGTTTGAATCAAAACAATGATTAACAAAAGTATATAGAATCAACTAAGTAACTCAAATATATTTGAGCTACTTAGAAATGTCTTAAAAAAATACATCTTAGCGTATCAACAAGATTACATATGTCCCATACTGCTGTATAGCTAACAACAACTGATAACCAAATCTGCTGATTTGATAATAAAAAACCAAGAAGCAAAAAAAACTAGGCACTTGGGAAACTGCCAAGTTCTATACTTCAGTACTATGAGGGTGCTGAGGGATACTAATTCATCTTCAGTAGGTCCACCCTTTGCAGCCTTAGCCTAAACGAGCTATTCCATAGTACAGTGGACAGAAAGGTGAGGAAGTAGAAAGAGTACCAACTGATGGAACAGGTCTTCATCTCCTAATCTCTATTGGCAAACACTGTTCTTCCACTTTCAACTAACATTTTTCATTGTACTCTCACCTCTGGGCAAAAGTAGCTCAAGAAAACTATTTGTTGAAAGGCTAACAGTAAAGTATAAAAAAAAACTGAAGGGAATTCATCTATACTTTTTATAAACATAACACTCTATCCAAACCAGCTTATTGCATTACAGCCACACTAAATCACTTAAAGTATCTAAGACCTCTAAACAGAAATCAGAGCACAGCTGTTAAAATAATTCTGAAAGTTTTATAAAACATCTTAAAGGTAGAAACTACCTTTGCCCTCTTATCTAAATTTATCTCAGTAAAATTTAAGTTAAAATTTAAAAGAATGTCTAATAACACCTAAAATAAAAAGGCAATTTTCCTTTTAATACTCAATCTTTTAAAAACTACAAAAGTTTGTTTGAAGGTAAAAATCCCATAGTCATCAGACAATAAAATTCTACCATACCATCCTTCAGAGCTGCAGTGAAGATGGTAGTCTGCAAAACCGCTTAGCAGCAAAAGAAAGACACTGCATTGAGTTATACTCTTCCAAGCAGGTCTAAAATAGGCACTACTGATTTCACTCTGACCAGGATAACAATTTTAAAGCTTACGTTCTGAAAACAACATTCAGCTATGATGTGGCGAAACACTATGCCATTGCTCTAAAAATAAGAGTGTGGACTGCAAAGAATGAGCTACCACCTAGATCTCAGCACTCCCAAGTGACACTAAGAATATAATGTTTCCGATGTGTTTAAAAAGTAATTTCTTACATTCTTTCCTTGACTATAACCACATTGTCCAGGCTAAATACAATTATGAAATAATTAGAAAAGCTCTGCCTCAAATTTTTTTAAGCTAAATCTGTTTTCAGATTTTAATAGGAAATTCCACAAAGGGTAGTCACAAATTCTAGCCCATCCAATATAGCTCTGTATGGCAACTGGAATATACTGTTGGAAAGATACACAGCACAGAAGTAATGAATATATGCTGCTCCCATATTTCCTAGTAATTCTTTAATCAACTTTTAGGAGGCTACCTTTCATGACTTAAACCATTCATAAATGCATATTTTCATTCTATAATACCTTTTGGGAGTAGTAAATCCCATTAATATCTAAACTACATGGGGTTGTACTTTCTTCTTCTGTTATAAATGCTGTCTTAAAACTACAGAGTTATAGAGTATAATATTCCTCCATCTCTTAAATGTACTCAAGGACTTGGAGCAAGAGGTTGAGACCCAATGAGTGGCACATTTACCAGTCCATATCACTTTAATAGTTTAGGCATGTCACGCCTTTGCAAGCCAAAGCACATCTTTAAAAATAGTTTTGTGTGACCACATTGTCTTTCCCTAATGATGCAGAAATGTCAGCTATTTTAAGAACAAAGAAACTGATGAGGTCAAACGGCTGACACAACTGGTTTTTTAATCTATTATACAAAATCTCATATTACTAAATTTACGGATGTCCTCTAGATACCTTTTCAAAATACTTAGTTTTGGTTGTAAAGTAATATGTTTTTGAATTCTGATGTACTTCATATTCTTTTAATCATGCATTTCTTTGGACTTTGTAAATGTATTATAAAATAGATTTTTTTTTTTTTTGGTCAGCACTGACAATGGCCTCATATAGAACTCTTTTTTCAGCACATTCAATACTTAATCTTATCAATTTTATGATGATCAGTTAATTACACTAATGTGTATCAACTGTCATATTAATTATGTGGAATACTAGTTAAATGTAAGGCATGCGTCTTATCTTCAAGGAACTTAAAATACAGTTGGGGAGCCAACTATAAAGAAATGAGATGATTGGTTCAACTTATGAAATGAGTCACATCGTTTTCATTCCAGAGCTATGACTCTAAACTTAATGTGTGACAATAATGAAAAATAATTCATAAGATGGTACATATTATCAAATGCTGTGAGTTCAGAAAAGATACTCCTTTTCTGAAGTAGTTAAGGGATTGGGGAGGAGGAAGACCTTGAAAAACTCAGTGTGAGATCATTTAGAAGCTATAAGGCATCATTGGAATTAAGAGATTTGAGTGTTAGTCTTAATTCAAACAAATTAAGGTAGTTATTTCTACCAAAAACTGATAGTGTAATGTTGAGCAAGTTACTACCTAGGCCTTTACTTTTTCGAGGAGGCTGGATTCTGATTTTCCACCAGAAACCTGGAGTCTTTCAGTGATAGGGAGTTTGGCTTCACAGTCACTGTTCCAAAATACAGAAACTGGGGCTTTTTTTCCTGTCACACAAAAAGTGTGGGTGGAATAAACAATGGTGGAGGGATGATCTCAAGGAGCAGATCAATTCTGGTATTGTCAGGGTCCTCTTTGCTCTGATTCTAGTTTGCTATTCATTTTACTTTCCCTCAAGCAAGTGAGATTGTCACTCTTCATGTAATAAGCCTTCAGCAAATGCACAACTCTCATGTAAGTTTAAAAAACCTTAACCTAAAAAATGTGAAATTACTTTTTACAAAAAGCAAGACGGTAAAATAAACTGAAAAGATTTCACATCAATGTAATTATTCTTCAGGATGCAAAGATGGCCAGGTAAGGACCCGAGGTGCCCAAATTACGAAGCTCCTCAATCATAAAGTCGAGTCTTTATTTTTGAAGGATTAAATGAAAGATCTTTGGTGTGAAGGGGTATCTGTTGTGTGAAACTGGAAAGCAGGGAGACTTACGAACAAGCTTCTACAAAATATAAGAGGATTTCAGATGCATGAGAAAGTAGATGAAGGGCAGTCCCGATACTGAAGTTTACAGATGTAAAGGAGCATAACCTTTTTTTAAGTCAGCAGAGTGGAGTGCTGGTGGTAATGAATCTGGTTTTTATTATGTTTTGTGTTTTAGCTCAGAATCATTATGGGCCATATAACACCATGACTAAGGAAAATTTTAGACTAGATTAATAGGTGGGAGAAACAAGAGATTCTCAAAGTGGCTTTCCCCACACACCAAAGGACGCAAGATTTTTCAGAAACTATGTTCTAGAAACTATGTTCACTTATAAAATGGGACTTATCCATGCCAATATATACATTGGAATCCTCTAGTTAGAATCCTAGAGTCCAGCATTTACAAAGCGATAATAAATGTAAAATAATCTAGAAACTTTTTCTACAAAACGGACGCTCAAACTGCTAAGATTCTGAGGAATATGAGATATTCTCCAAGAAAAAAACTACCTTACAAAACACTGCGCAGTGTGACAGCACATACTATTTGGTTGGCTTTCCAAACCTGACCAAATATACTGCCTCATTTAATCAATACACTTTTTTAAAAACCTAAGTATAAGTAATTTTCTGGTGCTAACCACAATTTTTAAAAAGCGTATTTTCAAGTTGGTGCTTCCGTTCCAAGTAAATCAAGTTTTCATTTCTTAGGCAAACTTTCGGTTGAAGGTAGGATTGGGCACCTTGGATTGCCACGCCCAGAAGTTCTCACCACTTGACAAAGACAATTTAGCTGTGAGGGCTGACTTGCCAGCAAAGCCTCGTTTTTGAAAATTAAGTGCTTTTCTGATTACCGTTTATCAGAGCCCTTCCAGAACATGAAACAAATACCAATAATATTCAGAAATATTCACTTTATTCACTTTTCGATATAAAACATTTTGCACTTAAGTTAAAATCTCTGCTAAATCCATAGGTCTCTCAAGAACTAATACATATATACCCACTAAACTAAAAGAAAACACTTCCGTGGCGAATTGAGTTAGCCCAAAGTTTCCCCTCAAATGGGACAAGGTATTATATTTTGGAGTTTTTCCTAGAGCCACAAACTAAACGCCAAATCTCTTTGTCACTGCTTAAAGAAAAGCTGTAATTACAGGAGCGGATATTGAGCTGAAGATCGTAACAATTTGAGTTGGTTATTCCCACCACACGTAGCCACACAGCTGCAACAGCTGCAGCAGGGGGACAATGGGCTACGTTTTTTGCGCAAACTCTCTTGAATCGGGCAAGTTGACGTTAGAAACTAAAATAGTCCCGGAGTCAGCTCTGTAGGGGTCGGGTTTCGCGGGCCCGGCAGTCGCCCAAGCTCAAGGCGCCAGTGAGCGAAGCCACATTTCCAAAGCTCCAAGTTTGGGCACAGGAGCGAAGTTCGGGTCTGGGCCACTTCCGGTCATGGCCTCGGATCCCAGAACCGGGGACCTGGGTGGCACACCTGCTCAGGTGCGTTCCCGGCACTCGGAGCCCCGCCGCCGTCCAGCCACCCCGCGGAGACCGGTCCCCGGGACAGGTCATACGCGCCCGACCGCGAGCATCACTCACCCGGCACAGTTACAAGAATCCGAGCACCTCAGCGAGCCCTTCGCTGCAGCTACCACCACCCTGCTACCCAGAGAGCAGCTAAACACCACCGCTTCCGGCCTCCGCTTAGCAAGCCGGAAGGAAGCTAGGTCACCATTCTTGGCCGGCAGAGTGGGCCTGACTTCACGGAGGGGCGACAGGGAGGGAAGTCGCCAGTGTGGTCAGCGGGCGCTGTATTAACCAAGTGTAAGAGAAGGAAGTGTAAAGTGGGTAACCTAGAATATAGAGCAATATATAATGGTTCGTTGGGTCCTGTTACTGAGTTCCCATCTTTTTTATAACTTTTCTTGCAGTGTTAAGTCTTCCTCCCCCCATTCTTTCCGCAGATGGTTGCGTCCGTCCTGTGGCTTTGCCCCGCCGCACATTCCAGGGCTCGGCGAAGGGTGGGGCCGGTCGCCCCAAGTCCTTGTAAGGAAATCGAGGAGAGGGCTGCGGGCCCACATGACTGGCCCTCGCTCCGCCCCAAGCGCCGGGCTCCCGCCTCTGGGCGGTAGCGAGCCTGCGCTTCACTCACAGCGCGTGGCCTGGGTGTCTGCCTGAGGGACTTGGAGCGGTGGGCAACGCTACGGAGCAGGCCTTATTGCTAGCGGTTTGATCTCCGTGTGCAGTGCGGTTTTATGAAATGTTCCGCCCCCTCCATATAGGAGGAAACGTTGTGTATCCCTGGGGCCCTCAGCCAAGAGTCCACTATCTTTTTGGCCCAGACGGATTTTCCTAAGATCAGGAGTGGCTGGAGACTTCCTTCCTCTTGAAAAACATTTGCCGTCGTTTTTCCCTGGCAGAGCCCGTTGGACTCTGACTAGCAAGGGCAGCCTGATTTGGATCCCTCTAGGAAGGAAGGCGACACTTCGCCGCACCTCTCGCTCCAATGAGGACTTGCGGCTTGGTGAAAACAGGAATCAAAACCTGGGCCTATTTCTCCCGAGTTCTCCTTGCTTAGAACAGTTCATAACAATGAATCTTATTAAAAAGAGAAAGTACCCCCCCACACACACTTCATCTTTTTCCACCCAGAGTCTGATATAAAGACTTGTTCTGGCCCCCTCAGCAATCTGACCTCATCTGCCAGAGGAGTGAGTGGGATCCTCTCACACTCCGGCCGTCGTCCCAGCACTAGGGGACAGTGACCAGTGTGGCTCCCGTGGCCAGACCCTTCTGAAGTTTGGGTTGCTCTGTGGTCTTCGCTGTCAAAGCAGGCCGTCACTTGAATCCTTCTGGAAGGGACAGTGTTACTGTAAACGCTGCGGAATAATATCTTGGAAGTATTCGTAGCTTCTTTCTTGAGGAATCTCTGGAATACTCCGTGTATTAACCACTAACATTCCAAGGTTAACTTCGTGGTAAAGTCACTGGGGAAAAAAAATAATTGATCCAGTTCCACAGGTGATTGAAACAAAGGTGATTTGTTTCCCAAACTTCCTTGATGGTAAGAATTACTTGGGGTACTAATTAAGAATACAAATAGTCTGGGCGCGGTGGCTCACACCTATAATCCCAGCACTTTGGGAGGCCGAGGCTGGTGGTTCACGAGATCAAGAGATCGAGGCCATCCTCGTCAACATGGTGAAACCCCGTTTCTACCAATAATACAAAAATTAGCTGGGCATGGTGGCGCACGCCTGTAGTCCTAGCTACTCGGGAGGCTGAGGCGGGAGAATTGCTTGAACCCAGGAGGCGGAGGTTGTGGTAAGCCGAGATCGTGCCATTGCACTCCAGCCCGGGTAACAAAAGCAAAACTCCGTCTCAAAAAAAACAAAACAAAACAAAACAAATAATTGCGTCCCAGAGTCTCCAGGGGTAGGTCCTGGGAAGCCATCCATGTAACGGGAGTCCTAAGTGGGCCTCTTATCAGGGAGGGTGGGCACTCAGCGAGAGGGCAGGCAGCGACAGGGTGAACCCCAGATGGCTGCGTGGATGCATTTGTTCCTGGAGTTTGCGAGTACCTGCAGTGCATGGACACCTCCACAGGGTGGTGGCCTGTCACCACGAGAGCACCAGCTCCGCCAGCGTCCTCTCCAGAGGACATTTAGAGCAGAAGGAAACGGACAGTTCTGCCTTCCCCTCAGCTTGAAGGTAACATTCTTTTGCTTCTCTAGAGTCAGATCATTTCCTTGTATTCCTTCCACTTAGTCATCAGGTATTAAACAGCAACTGCATTGCCAAGCACTGTGGTGGGGGCTTGGCTTTCTGGAACAGAACACAGTTGATGCTACCTTGGGGGTGATGGGGGGTGGAATAGAAAGAATGAGGAGTTAGCAGGGTATCAGGGAACAGGGTGGAACAGATAACAATATTTACAGTACAGTAGGGTCTATTGAAGGAGGACAGATGAAGAATAAACTTGTCTGGGAACTAGTGGAAGGTGTCCCCGCAAGGGATATTAAAGAGCTGATTCTAGAATCCAGTGGGGAAGGAGAGGAGAGAGAGATGCCAGGCAGAGGGAGCAGCATGCCTGATTGTCTAGAGGTGATCAGAGGGCCTGGCCGATTGAAGATGAACAGGAATTTTGTAGTCCGTGTTCATTCATTCATTTATTCATTCCACAACTATGGCTATAAAAATAACCAATGTGGAAAAAATAACATCTGAATAAAATGTTCTTCAGATGTCCACCTAGTGTTTTGATATTCACTTTTGATGATTGGACCACCATCAAAGGCCTCTGACTCTTTCTGATACTTCTATCCTTTTGGACCCTATGGGAGATCTTTGCCCCCACGTGATAATCTTCTTCCCACCTTTTTAGTAAAAGGTTGGAGACTTGAATTCTGTTCCAGATAGAGTGAAACAGGGTCTTGCTCTATTGCCCAGGCTGGAGTGCATGGCCCGATCATAGCTCACTGCAGCCTCGATCTCCCAGGCTCAAGCCATCCTCCCTCCATCTTTTGACCAATACTCAGTAAGAAATTTATTTCTCTAAGAAATACTTGACTACCTATAATGTTTTTCAAATTTTTCAATTCTGTTATTAGTCTGCTTCAGCTGCCATACAAAATACTACACACTGGGTGGCTTAAATGACTGAAATGTATTTCTCACACTTCTGGAGGCTAGGAAGTCCAAGATCAAAGTGCTGGCCAATTCAATTGAAGGCCCTCATCCTGACTAGCAGATAATCAGTCAACTTCTCCCTGTGTTCTCACGTGGCAGAAAGAGCTCCCTCTTCTTTTTTTTTTTTTCTTTTTAAAAAAATTTTTATTTTTTTAATTCTTATTCTTATTTACTTATTTTTTTGAGGCAGAGCCTTGCTCTGTTGCCCAGGCTGGAGTGCAGTGGCACGATCTCGGCTCACTGCAACCTCTGCCCCCCAGGTTCAAGCGATTCTTGTGTCTCAGCCTCCTGAGTAGCTGGCATTACAGGCACATACCACCACACCTGGCTAATTTTTGTGTTTCTTTGTAGAGACAGGATCTCTCCATGTTGCTCAGACTTGGTCCTGAACTCCCAAGCTCAAGCTGTCTGCCTGCCTTGGCGTCAAAAGTGTTGAGATTACAGACATGAGCCGCCATCCTGGCCCATGCTCTTTGTCTATTTGCTATCAGTTTTATAACTTTTGTCTTTTCACACCTCTCACACATTCTACTCCATCCCCACTCTCAGTTGACGACCATGCTTCTAAGTCTGAGAAGATAATGGCTCTCACAATCCCCCACCACATTTACCCACTGGCGAACATCTGTCTTCATATGTTGTCTTCCCCTTCCTCTCCTGCTAACTAGAGAGGAGCTCTCCTTGCACCTACAGAAAGCCAGCTCCTCTGTTTTCTTGGTCATGCCACACCAGCAATTCTGCCCTCCTGCATCATCAAGTTCTCTCTCTCTCTGTTGGAGTATCCCCATCAACACGAATGCTATATTGTACCCCATATGTAGTAAGCAGACCCCCAAAATATACCCCTGTTCTAATTCCCAGAACCTGTGAATATGTTAGGTTACACAGCAAGGAGAATCAAGTGAGAAGATTTGGAATAAAGGTTGCTAAGGAGCTGACCTTAAAATACAGAGATTATCCAGTATTTTTCAGGTATATAGTATCACCATAAGAGGTCTTAAAAGAAGAATCAGGAGGAAGAAGAGGGAGGCAGAAGACTGTTAGAGAAAGATGTGACTGTGGAAGGAGGGCCAAAGAGATACAATGTTGCTGGTCTTAAAGATGGAAGAAGGGGTCAGGAGCTGGAAGCCTCTAGAAGCTGAAACAGACAAGGAACTGATTCTCCCCTAAAGCCTCAGGAAAGGAACAAAAGTCTCCCTGACAGCTTAATTTTAGCCTATTGAGACCCACATTTGACTTCCAACCTTCAAGACTGTAAGATGACTAAGTTGCATTGTTTTAAGCTACTAAATTTGTGGTAATCTGTTAACAGCAGCAATAGAAAACTAATCTACCATACCACTAACAACAACAAAAACTCTCTTCAGCTACTGTCCTATTTTCTTGCTCCCTTTTAGAAAACTCTTTAAAGGAGTCACCTGTACTCACTGGTTCTCAATGCCCCCCCCCAACTTTAGTAATTTAGTAAAATGTATATAACATGAAACTTTCCATCTTAACCATGTTTATTGTATAGCTTACTGCAGGGGTCCCCAACACCCTCTGCCTCCCCTCTCCCCCAGGACCCAGGGAGTGACGGTTTGTCTGTATTTACAGCTGCTCCCCCATCGCTCACATTACTGCATGAGCTCCGCCTGCTGTCAGATCCTACCAATGGCCTTAGATTCTCTTAGGAGCATGAGCTCTATTGTGAACTGCACATGTGAGGGATCTAGGTCGCATGCTCCTTATGAGAATCTAATGCCTGATGATCTGCCACTTTCTCCCATCATCGCCCAGATGGGACCATCTAGTTGCAGGAAAACAAGACCAGGGCTCTGACTGATTCTACATTATGGTGAGTTGTACAACTATTTCATTATATATTACAATGTAATAATAATATAAAGTACACTATAAATGTAATGAGTTGAGTCATCCTTAAATCATTGTGCCCCCTCTCACCACCACCTCTGCCCAGTCCCTGAAAAAACTGTCTTCCACAAAACTGATCCCTTGTGCCAAAAACGTTGGGGACCACTGGCTTAGTGGATTAAGTATATTTTTAATGTTGTGCATCACCACCATC